CTTCAACAGACTTCTGTGCAGCCTTCACCACTCTCTGCAAAGCTTTTCTTTCTGCAGCTGTGCAGCCTCCATGCCACATGTTGATGCTGGAGCACAGGATGCTCTCCACTGTACACCTGTAGAAGGAGGTGAGGACTGAGCTTCCCAGACCAGCTCGTCCCAGCCGCCTGAGGAAGTAGAGTCTCTGATGAGCTTTTTTGATCAGGCTGGAAGTGTTGCTCCAGCTGAGGTTGTCATTCAGGTGTACACCCAAGTACTTGTAGCTGGAGACCACCAGCTGGGGGAAGCTGTTTTTGTTCCACCTGAAGTTCATTCATGTCTTTCATCTTCTTCACATTGATGTGAAGTTTATTCTCTTTGCACCAGCTCTCCAGGTGTTCTACCTCCTGCCTGTAGCTGAACTCATCAATGTTTGTGATGCATCCAACCGCTGTATCATCTGAAAACTTTACAGTATGACAGCCTGGATGGGTAGCTGCACAATCATACGTGAGCAGAGTGAACAGGAGGGGGCTCAACACACAGCCCTGAGGGGAGCCAGTGCTGAGGGTTATGTTGGAAGAGGAGAAGTTGTGGATCCTCACAGTCTGTTTATTAAGAAACATACTACATACTACTATACTATACTATACTATACTATACTATACTATACTATACTATACTATACTATAGTTGCTGAAATAACAAAAAATGCTGAAACTTGCAGAAATCAGCTGAAAAGAGCAGAACAAGCTGAATTGCAGAAAGAAGTTAGAAGAAGCACAAAAATGTAGTTACAGAGAGAATATGAAAGGAGCAAAACAGCTAAATATACAGCTGAAAGTAGCTGAAAAAATTTGCAGAAGGAAGCTGAAAAAAGCTGAAGCAGAACAAAATGTGAAAACAGCAGTAAAAGGTTGTAAACAGATCTAAAGATCTGAAGGATGTAAAATTAGCTCAATTCAGTTTCTATGATAACAAAATGGCAGAAAAGGCTAAATATTTCAAAAAGCTGAAGTCGCACCAAAACCAAAAGTCAGAGCAGTGTTGTCCTGAAAGAGCTGAACGTTTTGATTTATGATTTGTTGAAATGGAACAAAAATTGTGGAACGAGAATCGTGCTGAAAATGAAAAATGGATCAGGAGTGAGTGAACGCTTCATGAACATTCAGATAAATACAACCAGGGAAAAACTTAAAAAGTTATTAATGGAAAAACAAATTAAAAATAAAGTTGTTACATATAAACCTCTAAACTATTTTCATATTGTTGAATAAAATCTTGTTGATTTAAACTGAAGATAAATTTCTTTTACGGTAAAATTAAACGATAACTAGTCTTTAGTTTCTGCAGCCTGCTCCTTCATCTGTCTCGTTTCACCTCCTGCTGCCCCAGGGTCAACGTGACCCCTGAGACCTGAGTCTTAAAACTGATCCACGGACAGCCCTGCTCCTCGTGCGCCTAAATGAGACTAACGATTAACGGAAAGTGAAGACAAGCAGCAGGTTTTAAAATAAAACTTCAGAAGAATTCAGGGAGAAAACATCTGCTGATTGAGCAGAACATTCAGACAGAACCGGGTTGTGCAGAACCTAGGACCGAGCGGACCGGAATGTGTAGGTCCGGAGCGTCCTCCTGCGGCAGACAGCAGGAGCTGCTCCTTCCTTCTCAAAGGGAGAGAAATACAGGAAGTCTTTCAAAGTAAAACTGCAGTAATAAACAAAATGTTTTAAAAGTTTCATCTAGGACCCTCTGGACTTCTGGACCAGAACCAGAGCAGAGGACAGGTGTTTACCCAGAATGCACTGCAGCACACAGCTCCTCCAGCTGTCAGCACAGAGGAGAAGGTTGATGGTTCTGCTCCTTCAGTCCCTCAGTGGACCAGAACTCCTCTGGAGACCAAATGGTTCTGGAGTCCAACATCTGAAGCTTGGACTCAACCGGGTCCAACAAAACCATGGTCCAGAACCCAGCAGCTGGTCTACAACAGAATGGTCCTGAATGGTTTGCTGCTGTCTGTTCAGGATTTAAATCTTTTTTTAAATTTTTTATAAGTTTTATTCTGATCAAATTTCATTTTGATACAAAGATCAGCTAATTTAATAGAAGTCCAGGACCTGAGGAGACCAGGTGTTGGAGGTTCTGGAGGACCTGAGGAGACCAGGTGTTGGAGGTTCTGGAGGACCTGAGGAGACCAGGTGTTGGAGGTCTTGTCCTGTTCTGGTCTGAGGGAGGACTCTAGCTGTTCTTCAGTCCTGGATCTTCTCAGCTGGATGGAGCAGATGTTTTTCCAAAACCTGCAGATAGTTTTCTTCATTGATGGAGTCTTTCCAGATGTGTCAGCTGTCCATGTCAGAGGCACAAATGCACCCCCATACCATCAGAGAGGCAGCTGATGGTTCCTCTCCTCTTTAGTACGGAGGATGTGGTGTCTAAACAGAACTGTAGATTTGGACCCGTCTGACCTCAGAACAGTTCTGGACTTCACCTCGGTCCATTTGAAACGTGTCAGGTAGAGGTTCTAGATGTTAGTTCAGGGCTGCCTGTGTGTCTGCAGGAGCAGCCTCCTCGGAGAACCTCCAAGGCCTCGTCCGTCGTCTGTAAGCTGCAGAGGTCGCTGCAGAGGTCGTCGTGACCTCGTCTCGGTCTGATGATAATTATGAAAAGGTCCGTGGGCAGAACTCACGACCAGAGCTTCAATGTAACATCAGCCTGCGTGTTAGCTCCGCCCCCTCACAAGTAAACTGGGTTTAAAGTCGCCTCTTGTCCTCAGACATGATGAAATTTAATTTATCCAACTCTGGTCCAGAGAAGACGGCAGAGGTTCTGGATGCTCTTCACATCTGGCTTCTCCCTTGTCTGATAGAGCTTTAAGCAGCATCCGTGGATGAACTGTGTGAACAGAACCAAATCTGTTTTACTGCAGCAAGGTCCAGAACCAGACCTGGTTTAACTGAACCAGAACAAACAGGTTTTATTAGGAGTGTAAAAAATGGACTAATGGGAAAGGTCAAAGGTCATCTGTGGAATGTGGGATTAATTCTGTATTTATGAGGGTCTAAATATGTTTAAAGTAGATAATGTATAAATGTTTGCTGATGAACTCATAATTATTATATTAGTTAGATAATGGTGTGTTTGTTTATAATATGCAGGTATATATTTAAATATGTTTAAACGATTAATTACATAAAACAATGGGGGTACTTTTGATATAAGAACACAACAGTAGACATGAAACTAAAAGCTCATATTTTATAAAAGATCTCATTATTAATGCAGAGCTGTGAGGAGGGACAGGACTAGATCCTCATCCTGCCCCATCACAACAGAACCAGACCTGGTTTTAACGCAGTGAGGTCCAGAACCAGACCTGGTTTTAATACAGTGAGGTCCAGAACCAGACCTGGTTTTAATACAGTGAGGTCCAGAACCAGACCTGGTTTTAATGCAGTGAGGTCCAGAACCAGACCTGGTTTTAACGCAGTGAGGTCCAGAACCAGACCTGGTTTTAATACAGTGAGGTCCAGAACCAGACCTGGTTTTAATGCAGTGAGGTCCAGAACCAGACCTGGTTTTAACGCAGTGAGGTCCAGAACCAGACGTGGTTTTAATACAGTGAGGTCCAGAACCAGACCTGATTTTAATGCAGTGAGGTCCAGAACCAGACCTGGTTTTAACGCAGTAAGGTCCAGAACCAGACCTGGTTTTAACGCAGTGAGGTCCAGAACCAGACCTGGTTTTAATACAGTGAGGTCCAGAACCAGACCTGGTTTTAACGCAGTGAGGTCCAGGACCAGACCTGGTTTTAATGCAGTGAGGTCCAGAACCAGACCTGATTTTAATGCAGTGAGGTCCAGAACCAGATCTGGTTTTAATGCAGTGAGGTCCAGAACCAGACCTGGTTTTAATGCA